TGCTCTGCATGGAAGATTGCTCCTCTCCGGGGGGCCAGGATTTGGAGGATGTCGAGCGGAACGCTGGGTTTCCACTTGTCAAGGTCGCCCGGGCGGAGGTCTACAGGTCGAGGTCACGGTCAAGTCCGGTCGAGGGGCCTATAGGGGGCGCCTCGCTCCGCAAGCGGAGGCGGAAGGCGTGAGGCACTGCGGCAACACGGCGCGAATTGCAAGAGTAAAGGGGCGGATGGGCGATCTTGAAACACATGCATTGTACATCAACTGTTTCGCATGAAAGTAAGAACTGGACTCTCCAAACGCTGCCAGGAGAAACGCTCCTGGCTGCGGATCGCTCGTGAGGTTCGTGCCGTGCTCTTGTCGCAAGAACGAACAGGGCCTGAGGCAAAACCAAATCGACGATTAATTGTGCTTGTGTGCTTCTTACCCTCCTGACCATCTTCGGAGGTCTGCAGGGCCCGAGGCAAAGCCGAGGAGATCGATCGGTCGACTCTGCAGAGGGGCGCCGTCCGTTCTAACTGCCACTGGCTGCGGCAGGTCGGCTCCCCTTCAGAGTGCGCCCTGTCTCCTGGAATGGGGGGGGGGCAGGCGTGGCATGCTGCACTTTGCTCCCACCCACCCCCTTTCCTCGGCTGGTTTTCCATGGTTTTTAAACACGGCAAGCGTAAGGTGTTGTATGCAGGGGGTGGGGTCGGAAAATAAACACAGAGAAGGAGGAGGATCAGGAGGAGGAGGAGGAAGAGGTCGGGGAGGAGGAGGAGGAGGGGGAGGTCGATGAGGTCCAGGAGGTCGAGGAGGAGCAGCAGGTCGAGGAGGGCTCCGTAGCCATTTTGCTTTAAACCCACGACTTCTCACGCTTTTGGAAGACTTGGCGACAGCGTGACGGTCGTGCCCGACCGACCACGACACGAGTCCCTTTCGCGCGCGCGAGGCCTTGCTCGCAATGGCTTTCTCTCACGTTGCTTTCTCTGCTTCCCATGCTCTCGCTGACGCGGCCACGTGCTCATCTAAAGCCAAATCTTGTCGCAAAACATGTCATCGCCGGGGATTTGCTGGCCGCAGAAATATTACCATGCTCAGAAGCTGACGACCTGTTTCAAGTATTGGGAAACATATGCGACAGGGATCAAACGACTATCAAGGTACCAGGCGGCACAAACAAGGTTGAATAAGACACTGGTAGCCATGGCATGATCACCCCTCGCGAAACGGATACGCAGAAAAACTTTGTCACAAAATCAATCGAATTTGCCACCGCTTTCTCTGGTGCCACCTCCCCAGTATACGCAGCGATTCATTTTGTCTCACAAGAGCCGCCACCGCTGATGGTGGGGGGAGGTTGGCAGTTCGATTCGCTGCTGCGACGATGACGCACTGGCGTCGAGACAACGACGCGCAGGAGGCGGTGGAGGATGAGACAATGGTTTAAGAAGGCAGCGCTTCGAATTCAGGTCTTTCACCTCGCGCGTACTTGCGATACTAAACAGTCGTGGAACGACATCGGCTGCAACAACTTTTCGGTCGTGCCGGTGATCCTTTGTTCGGTATGTTGGGTGGCGGAGGCTGTGGACGTGAGGAGGACGCGGTGGTGGAGGAGTACTCCAGCTGGGATCCCGACGGGCGCACCTTTTCGCTTCGGAGTCACGTGGCCCGCCGCACTCGGACGATGTCTCACCTTTGCCACGGCTCTGCGATCGCACGGCCCTCGGTGAGGGCGCTGATTAGGGTTTAGGAGAGGATGTTCTGGTAGATAGAGGATTTTGTTTGTTGTTTTTGTTTTGGGCTTTTGTTGGCTTTGTTTTTTTGTTGTGCTTGGGAGATCGAGGGTTTTGTTTTTGTTGGGGGGGCGGGGGGGCTTTCGCTGGACAGGGTGTAGCCTTCTGGCGAGCAAAAATAAGGCCCCCACAGGGCCCCATTCTCGAGCGCTGGCTTTCTGCATCGGAGGTGGTGGCAGCGGTGGCAGCGGAGGTTTAGAATATGGTGGAGGAGGAGACCGCGCAAGTCGACCGCTGCGAGCGTGTTGACCGCCAGAACTGAGCTTCGAGCATGTCGCCAGTGGTCAGCCTGGAATCGCGCTAAGCCCGAGGAATCGTGCTAACCCCGAGAAGAAGTGGCGAAACATATTGATGTCCCGGGGCCGAGGAGGTTTGGGGTGAACCGCTCAAGCCCTGGGTAGCAGTCCAAGAACTGCCGCACTTAGCTGTCGTTTCAGTTTTGTTCGCTCCAAGCTCGCACTTCCAACGTACTTTGTTCAGCACCTGTTGGTTAGCCGCCATCGTTATATTCGGTGGCGACCGAGGGGGGAAGGTGAGAAGGGGCGAACCTTCTCAGGAGGCTCGGAAGTCCCCCGACCTTCTTAACCGTTTTCCAAACCTTCCCCGGAGACACAAAAAACTTCTCAGAAGGCTGAAGGGCATCTGAGAAGTCCCGCCGCCTTCTGAGAAGGCCTTCTTTCTCCTTCTCCCTTGCCCCCCTCGCTCGCCTCCGACATATGCAACCCCAGTGCTGTTCCATCTGAACATCGTTTCATAGTCTCTGGAGCTAACACTCGGTGAGGGTCATTGAATATTGGCTGGGAGGATGGGGGCTTTGATGTGGGGAGGGTGGGTTAGAATTTTGACACTGTGCTTAATCTTGATATTTGATCTGCTTATCCAGCTTCTCTGGCCTGTTCCACGCTCTTTTCAGCACCAATGCCGCAAATTCACGCCTGTATCCTCTCGTACTCGTTCTCTTGGGATTATTTTTTTGCGTCCGCTCCTGTAAGACAGAATTCGAGCTCTTGACAGAGGAGCAAGAAAGCACCGTAAACAAAACTTTTGGGGCTCCGCGCGGATTCCTTGGATCTGCGCTGGACCCCCCTCCCTGGCGCGCGGAGCGCGCCAGGGGCGGATCCGAGAAATCCGCGCGGAGCCCCACAAGTGTTATATTTACGCCGTTTTTATTCTTCGAGTTGAGGAACACAGCAGCCTCGATGCTCATGCATTCGGTTTGGTCAAAAGAAGGGGATAGCAAAGGGGTGGTTTGAGAATCAGCTGACGTAAAGCTGATTTTCCCGGCGCCTCCCGGCGCCGGAGGCGGCTATGTATCGAGCAATGGGCCCCTCGGTGGGGCCGAAACCAGCTGCATGCAGCAGACTTCGTAACCCCCCTTTCCCAATCCCCCCCTTTCGGCCGGCGCGTTGCATGGCCAGCGTAAGAAGGTCGAGGAGGAGCGGCAGCCGGAGCAGCAGCAAGCCCCCGAGAGGCGGAGGCCCCAGCCCGCCGGCGGCGCGAGGACCACGGACCCCCAGTGCTGGCCGAGATCCATGATTGACCCAGAAAAAGACCCTTAACTCTCTGGGAGGGGACCTAAGTTAGGAAAGCCAAGAACATTTTGGACGCCCGAAATGGGTACGGAAAAATGGGTACAACGCCCAACAGCAAATGCTGTCCCAAACCAACAGCGGCCGCTGTTGGGCAGGCGGCCTTCTGTCTCAAATGGACACAGGCCGCGGCGGCACGGACAGCGAGTCCTGTTCAAAATGAACAGGAACTGCTGTTGTGCATTGTACCCATTCTTTCCGTACCCATTTCGTTCGTGCAGAAACATTAGGGACAGGGAGTCTTTTCTGCAGGTGTATCGGCCAGGCCGCCCAGAATCATGATCCCTAATGCGAAGACAGGGGCCTCAGTGAGGCTGCGTCTTCATCGTGTTATTCGGGTTAGGGGGTTTTTATCCTCAATGAATCCCGGCGCACGGACTGCGGGCCCAGTGCAGTCGGCCCGCCTGAGAAGGATGCGCGCTCAGTATGCCAAGGGCTTTGGAGGGCCATGTGGACTCTGTTCGAGCGGGTCGCGGCCAGCGAAAGCCGCTCATTCTGACCAGCAGGGTTGCCTGTGCAACCTCGACCGCCCTGGGGAAGGCCGAGTTCTTCGTGCTCGCTCTGATGCGAGAGCGGCCCGACCCGGGGCCCAATATGGCGCCGTGGCGCAAAGCCGAAGCGCGACTGGCCGGTGGTGGGCCCCAGAACCAGCACGAGAACGGTCAACGAGATTGCCAAAACCCTCCTCCTCCTCCTCCTCCTCCTCCTCCTCCTCCTCCTCCTCGTCCTCATTCATGCCTCCTCCTCCTCCTCCTGCTTCTCCTCCTCCTCCTCCCCCTCCTCCTCCTCCTCCTCCTCCTCCACCTCTTGGTCGACCCCTGGAGGTCTGGACGCCGTTCGGCCCCCCGGGCCTCAGGCCGATGCGGGCGTCGCAGCCGAGCCTGCCGCAGAGCCCCACGTACGCCTCGTGCTGGTCGATCCGCCGGCCACCGGCCTCCATCAGGTCGGCGAGCTCCTCTCGGAGGCCTGGAAGTGGCCACCAACACCAACACAGGGGGCTGCCTCCACGGGGGGAAGATGATCCTAGATTTCGGCGGTGGTGGTAATATTTCGGCCACCTTGGAAGCCAGGATATCACCACCATCGCCGAGATCGGGATCTTCTCCCCTCGGTGGAGGCACACCGTCGAAATTGGTGTTGGTGTCAACCTCTAGGCCTACGATCCTCGCAGCAGGAGGAGAATAAGCAAAGGTGGGGGTGGAGCCATGGACGTATCTCACGGGCGACGAACACTTTCAGGGACCCCGTTCTGAACACATTAGGGCATCGCATGTCTGGGGAGACAGAGGAATCCGCTCGGGGCCCATAGAGCTCCCCACAAGCCTCCAGCACGAGCGAGCCCCAAGTACAGGGACGTAGACGGTAGGATCAACCACGCCACTTTGAGCGTCGCCTGTGTCATGTTGCCGTGACTCGTGATAAGAATTTGACGGGAGGAGTGCGTCCTGCGTGTAAGACGCTTCAACACAAAACGGCCGTCTTCCACCTTCGTTTCTCCTGTCTGCTTCCTCCCTCCCCCTCCTCTGGGGTCCCCGCGCCCCGTCCATCCTCCTCTGTCATCAGGGCGGGGAGGATCCTCGAAGCTCAGCGCGTCGTCCCTGTCTTTGTCGAACTTGTCGAAGATCACGTTGCAGCGCGCCTCGCGCGGGCGGGCCCCCAGAGCGCATCCCTTCGGCCTAATCGCCACCTCCTCTCTGTCTCCCCTTGCTCACGCTCTCTCTCGCCCCCTCTCGAAATCGGAGGAGGAGGATGAGAGCTGCTGCGCCTTGGGCCATGCCCCCCCCCCCGCCCAGCCTCTTGGGGGCAGAAGTCGACGGCGCTGGGCGCGGCGCCTGGCAGCTTTCGCGCCGGCCTCGCGCAGCGGCCGCGGAGCGGGATGCCCGCGACGACACGCGCAGGCACCCGCACGGCTGCGCACACCACGAGCCACGCCACGCCTCGAGCGTACCCGAGGCGCAGCGCAGCCTGCATCGCCTCGAGGTCGGGCGTGCGGCCTGGTGTCGCACGCACGAGCCTGAGAACGAGTCGCGTGAGGAGTATCGTTTAACCGATCCTCATCCCCAGCTGCGTGGCCTGGGCCCCCACAGGCCGATTCGCCCCCCCTTGGATGGGGAGATAGGCCGTTCCCTTCGGGATTCGAAGGGGGGCTTATCCCCAACTGGGGTGGTAATTTGGTGGGGGTCTCGAAGGAGGTGGGGATTGGGATCGGTTAGACGATACTGACATCACTCCTCTTTATGGACAGCTGCACGCACCTGCAGCTCACCTACTTCGGGCATCCGTGGCAGCTCCCGATGGGATTAGGAGGAGGAGGAGGAGGAGGAGGAGGAGGAGGAGGAGGAGGAGGAGGAGGAGGAGGAAAAGGAGGAAGGAGGAGGAGGAGGAGGGAGGAGGGAGGAGGAGGAGGAGGAGGAGGAGGGAGGAGGAGGAGGAGGAGGAGGAGGAGGAGGAGGAGGAGGAGGAGGAGGAGGAGGGGGAGGAGGAGGAGGAGGAGGAGGAGGAGGAGGAGGAGTAGGAGTAGGAGGAGGAGGATGACCCCACCTCGTGGAGGCAGGGGCGCGGCGCCGCACCCCTGCGCTCGCCTCCTCCTCCCCCCCTCCTCGGGGGGCCCGCCCGCGCCGCCGACGCCGCGCCCCGCCGACGGCTCTCCGCAGAGAGCACCCGCGGCAGGTCGGGCATTCCCCAATCATTGCTTGCACTGAAGGGGTCCCAGCGGAAGTTGGAAGATTAGGCGAAGGGTCCCCGCCGATTTTGGCAGCAAGCTGGGTTCCGTGGTTCCCGGCTCCGGGTTCCCAGGTTCCCGGTTATTGGTTCCGCGCCGATTTCGGTGGGTTCTGGGTTCCCGGGCTCCAGGGTTCCCGGTCGATCTCCTCAGCGAAGACCAGTCACTGATTGGGGTATTTCTCTGGTGTGCTGTGACCTCCTACAGGCGGATTTTGGAAGACACGTAAAACATAGTCAACTAATGCTCACACATAGTCACCAACATCTGTTATTACTGTTCTTGAATCTTCCTCCTGGAGGGGGACCTGCCCGACTTACAGCCAAGCTCACGCCACGACTCGCGTTGGCGCCGTTACACATTCCTCTTGTAGAGGGACATGCCCGGCTTAACACAAACTGTCGGAAGCCCGCGCGGATTCCTCGGGTCGGCGCTGGGCCCCCCTCGGTTGCGTGATGTTCGACCCCTGGCCATAACAAATGGCTGCCCATGCTGGGCATGAACCGACAACTCTCTGTCGCTACACGGTTAAGCATGCGCCACGTTCACATCGCAGAGCGGGGGGGGTCGGGGGCTGGGAAAGGGCATGCCACTCCTTGACAAAAACCTTGCCTCGATTTGTGGCCGCCGCGATCGTCGCGGCGACCTTCACAAACCGAGCCGGTGGTTTGGCTCGGGCTCGGATATCAGACCAACGACCCCGCCGTCCTCTGTCCCTCGACCTCGCGCGGTCTGGCAGGGGGCCTCCGTGGTCTGGGTCCGTCCCCGCCTCAGCCCTCCGAGGGAGGAGGAGGAGGAGGAGGAGGAGGAGGAGGAGGAGGAGGAGGAGGAAGAGGAGGAGGAGGAGGAGGAGGAGGAGGAGGAAGAGGAGGAGGAGGAGGAGCAGAGCAGAGCAGCACCAGTGATCCGATGAATCCGAACGCCCCAAGACTGCGGCACCCTGCAGAACCCGAGGAAAATAAAAAACGGATCAGGTGTTCGAGAACCACTTAAGGGGCCCGACAATCTTTGGGGCCCTGCAGGGGGATGCCTCTGGCAAAGGCGAGACCCTCAAAAGGGGGCACCACGAGGGCTCGCCTATGCACTCCCGCACGCTGCAGAGCCAGAGGCAGGCGACGAATGAGCCTACCCCAGCACAACCCCAATCAGGACTCACGGCGCGGGGCCGCCCAGACGTCCGAGGTCCGCCTGGACCCCGCGAGTCGGCCATCCTCCAGAGCGCTCTCAGCAAATCGCAGCTGGCGAGGGGCATCGGACAGCGCCCGAAGGCCCGCAGCGTCCAGGAAAGCCTGAAATGGGGGAGACCTGAACAAAAACAACTCTAACCTCCAGGTCGCCGTCGGAGTACTCAAGAATTGGAGTAGGGGTCCGGGTCTGAAGGGCGAGGTGGGGAGCATCAGGCAGGTGGCCCTGGAAGTGCAGCTCGGCGGCTCGGCGCGAGCCGTTCACTGCCGTCAGGCATGCCCTCGCAGAGGAGGGTCTTGCTCGTCCTCGTCCTCGGGCTTGTCCTTCAGGCCCAGCCTCTGCACGCGCTTGGCCGCCTCGCGCTCCAGCCCGCCCCTGGGCGGGGAAATTGGCAGGTAGGTCACCGCCGTCTCCTTGTCCTTGCCGCCCGCCGCCAGCAACGTCAGCTGCAGCGCCTCCATCATTGCGTGCTGGCAGCCCTCCCACTTGTTGGCCTGCTGCGGGACTCCGAGCATGATCTGCAGCTTGAAGCGATCTGGGGCCTGCATCTTCTTCTTGTCGTCCCAGCGCGCCTTGATGCGGAAGTGGCGGCAGTGGGTGGCCATCAGCTCCAGCGCGTTCTCCTTCGTGATGGCCGTCTGCCAGTAACTCCTGAATACTGCCTGTGCCCCCATCGGGCGTCGTCTCCTTGCCGCCCGTGCAGGCCCACTTGGTGAAGGCCTTGAAGACGTGGGGCCACGGCGGCCCGTGCTTGTGGCCCTTGCCGTCCGCCTTGCAGCTCTCCGCACGCGCGCGCCCCGCATCCTGCAACACCTTCGCGAAGGCCACGCCCGCGCCGACCATGTAGCACGTGAGGCAGGCGCCAGTCACCTCGGCCAGTTCGCGCGCGTTGGCGAGAGCGAGCTTCGTGAGGGCCAGCAGCAAGGCCGCCAGCGCCCCGCCCATGCCGCCCTCCTGCTTGGACTGAGCTTCCTCCCCGAGCGCCTCCAGCAGGAGGGCCTTCTTGGCGTCTCTGGGCGCCGCTGCCCCGCTCTCCTCTTTGCGCTTCACTGCCCAGCTGGGCTCCTCGAACTCCACCGATCAGCACCAGCGGCAAGTCCTCGAAGTGGACTCTGTTATGGATGTGAAGATCATCTTCGCTCGAAACTTGAGCTTCGCACAGCCGACAGTGGAAGGGGCCCTCAGAGGCGGCGAGCTCGTGTGTTGTGCTGAGCTGGTGCTCGCAGAAGCCCGAAGCGAACGAGACCAGGTGGTGGTTGTACGCCGAACTACGACTCTGACACCTACTGCCACACACGAAACACGAAGTACCATGGGTAGTCTCAGCGAGCAAGGTCTTGAAGCCATGAGCCGCGCGAACGTGAACCAGCCACTGCCTCTTCGTGAGGAACCATGTGTCGCAGCCGTCGACGGTGCATTGGATGCCCTCAGCATGGCCTGCATGTGCCTCTGGGGGTAAAGGAGCCTGATGAGGGTGGCCTGGAGGAGGGGCACTGACGGAGAGCCGCGCAGCCCTGGCGATCGAGAGGTCGAGCTCAGTGAACCAGTCCCGCAGATCCCCCTCGTCGAAGAAGTCCCGTGGGGCGCCCGTCCAGGACCGCAGATCCTCCTCTATGTCCGTGGAGACCCTCCGGGGCGCCTCGAAGTCCCGAACGAACTGTACGGCCCAGGGGTTGGCGGACACCGTGAGGTGGCCCTCGGAGGTGAGCGCGCGGAGGCCCCGCAGCTTTTCGATTTTGAAGTCGCCGAAGATGGGGGCCCACTCGCTCAGGTGCCTAGCAGGGTCGAGGGCCCACTTCTGGTACCAGCGCGGGCGACGGACGCGAAACTCCACCTCCAGCGGGGGGGCCTTCCAGTACCTCAGAACGGCCTCAGAAGGAACAGAGCGTGCATGTCCACCCTCCCAGGACGTGGCAGCCCCCCTCATCGCATTTCGCCCGAAGAAAAACACCCGTCTTGTGAGCTGGTCGACCTGGCTGGGGGTGGGCAGGAAGGCCTCGCAAGCCGAGCAGGCTGGACCAACGACCCTGGCTAGGAAGACGGCGCGCCTCTCGGTGTAGGCGATTCGCTTGGAGTACCAATACTTACCCATGGAATAGAAACCTGTGAAATAGCCGTCATCCTGGAACTCAGCTCGGCCCGAGAAGAACAATTGCCTATGACCTGGCCCCCGAGGTGGCGAGTGGCGTCAGCAGGGCCCCCAGCAAGAGTGACCTTTTTTTCAATCACCTCCCGTCGGCGAGCGGGCAACCCTTCGCCCACGAACGACAGGAGGCTAGCGTTCTTGGCTGGGTTGAGGGCGTAGCCATGGCGACGTAGCTCAGCAGAAAGAAGCAGGTCATAGGCGCGTGATCACCGTGATAACTCCCGAGCCGACGGCCCTTCTGTCACAATCTTCCGGATCGCGTCGCCCACGTAGGAATGAAAAAGCCAAGTCCAAGATGATATCCTCGCCGTCGCGGTGAAGGCTGAGCTGGCACCAAGTGGCAGACTCGGGGCCAAGCTGCTCGTATTGCTCCGGCACTGTCGAAAAAAAAAACTGCACTGATATCGCGCGCGAATACTTTGACCGCCCAGGGGTCTCCAATGAATGCCCCCACGCAGGGGCGAACACTTATATCTCCGAGCGTCGCTGCAGCAAAGCGAAACCTCTGGTGGCCGAAGAGAACGTGGTCTTCCCTCATGATACTCTCGTTGGCGCCCGTCAAGCTCTGCCAGTCCGTGGAGGCGAA